GACTGATAAAGTCATACAGAAAACGATTACTTCAAGGTGCACTTAGTTTTTCACACATGGCTTCTCCATTTTGGCTTTCTTTTTGTAAAATAAATGATGACATGGTGTAATATGTCATGTGTTGTTCATCTGAGGTTTTATTTACCTACTTCTGAAAACTGCTAAGGACCAGATGATCTTTATTATGTCCTGATATGTAAAACCATAGAACTCAAAGAGGGTGTACTTTCTTTTTCACACGACTGGATCATGGTCATAGTTGCAAACCCCTAAACCAAAATATGATTTCCCTTGATCACCATCCACCAATCCACACTGTAGAGAAAATAACATAGATAGTAACCTATGCTGACAGCATGCCAATGTATGAGTTCTGAACTGGGCACTGGCAGTTTTGGGGCCTCACCATCATACCACAGGGCCTTGTCCTCTGCATCAAACAAAACTGCTCTGGTTCCCTTTCAAAGGAGTTTGAGGAACTCTAGAGTTTGTGGGTAGGGTTACTCACCCCACAAATGATGCTAAAGAGGAGATTATAGCAGAGAGTTCTTCACAGAGCTTTAAGGTTTCTCTTGGAGAAAGCCAAGTAGCCTACATGGGTTTCAAGGTCAAATGATGATATTACTGCTTCAAGGTAAATTTTAAAAAAAACATATTATATTTCTCTGGTTAACTCAAGTATACAGATGGAGATGCCATCTAAGCAAGAATTCAGGTCAAAAGCCCAGGGCTTTTACTCAACAAAATGAGTGAGGGAGAGGGATGGGGGCAGCAAAAATAGCATGTACAGATTATTTGCTAAAGGGGAGAATGTTCAGAAGTTCAGAGTCTAAAATTATCTAATTGCATCACTGAATATATACAGAAGGAGAAGGCAATATGAAGAATATGAAATCCCTGATATTACTAATACTGATTTTCCCCCCCGAATATTGAGCTTTATGAATTAACATTCAAACAAGATAGCTCTGCCTTAAGAAGCTTGCAATCTTAGACAGAAAAGAGACAAAGGCAAGAACAGGTAAGTAGGAGACATCAATTCTAGGAAGCACATGCAAAACTAAAGGCACCATCACTTCATATAAAGCTCATGGTTACCATTGTATGTCAAAAAAACATACCTCTGACTGCATTCCAGCTTGGTTTTGTAAAAAAAAAAAATTTTTTTTTAACTCAAGAAGGTATTGACCAAAGGGTATTTGATTTATTACCTTCCTTCATGTTTGCGAATCGCTCCTTCAACTGGTGATCCACTTCAGGACCAAAGGCAAAGTTATTCACAAAAATAACACTGCAAAATAACAGGGTGTTAGCAGAACAAGGAAAAACATCTTGGCTTCCCATTAAGGTTTAAAAATGATTTCTAGTGAGGAGAATATTTATCTCACACAAAATTCAACTGACCATACCAAATGAAGCAGAGAAAACTTAGAGTATTCTTTTACTTGTTAAAAGAACTGAATAGAAATAATCACATATGGATTTTGACAAAATAATATCTTGCATGATAATTGTGCAACATAAAAAGGGTAATAGCAATGAATTTTGTGTCAGAGCACAATATTATTTTCTTCTAAATTTCAGGAAGGAGAAGAACTAGAATGAAAGGAGACAAACTTCAGGCATCTATTTAATTTTTCTAATTTCACTAGAGCGCTGTCAACTGGTATTTAGTACAAACGAAATTCAATAAAATTAAAGAATTCTGAGCACAGATTCTGCTTTGAGTATCAGAACTGAAAATGAAACTCACAGAAGCTTCTACATAAATATGGAAACCAAGTTTCCTCACACATTTTTAAGTCCAGCAGTATATCTGGGGACAGAAGTCAATTTACTGCTATTATTAAATATTTGGGAGACATGAGTCTTTTTCTCATCTTACTATAATTCCTCCTGAGATCTACCAACAGATCTGGATTTACATTTTGTCCAACCCTGTACTAGAATTCAGATTATTTTCACTTCCCTGACCTACACTCAGAGTAATCTTTCAAAGAAGAAGTAGAATAAAGCCTCATTCCCTTATTTAGGAGTGAAGTCTTTTTCTTATTCAGAAAAATACCTTCAGCTTTCTTCAAATAATAATCTATTGTACTTACAGGAATGGAAGCTAATGTTTGGGAGATCACTGAACTTTGGCATGTCTGAATGACATAGTCTTCAGAGAGCAGGAGAACTCCTCCATCACATCTAAGGTCTAAGAGTGCTTGCCTGTGCAAGCAGAGGCATGCTTAAAGAATGGGCTGAGATAATTTTTCAGAAGAGGGCCTCTCTCTGAAGCTATGCTGTGGCAATAGTGAATCTGCCATTGGATAGCAATGGGTACCCTTTGTCTCCACTTAGCTGCGTATATACATATACAAAGAAAGCAAAATCAAAGAGCCGGTCATTTAGGCCATCTATTCCAACCCCTCCTTAGTGCAGAAGTCCAAATGAAAGCATTCCCAATAGATGGATGATTAGCCAATGCCTGGACATATCCAGTGAAGGGTCACCCACCACCTTCCTGGGGAATTGACTCCAAAACTATTAAAGCTATGTTGAAATTCTACACTATTTTCCTATACAGAATATCTCCAATCCCAGCAGATATGGTCCCTGAAATGCCAAGAGGTAGGAACCAACACTAACATCGTTTGTTAGCAAGTCATAGGAGCAGATGGGATAGTGAATGGCAGTCCTCGAAATGGGAGATGAGACTGACTTTTTATGAAACAATTTTATATTTATGATGGCAGCCCTGGAAACCCAGGTTAAAATTGAATCCACAATCACTATACCTTGTGTTTGCGATTCTTTCTCGCCATTCTTCTGAGAGGAAGTCACCTCTTTCCAGCTAAGAATAGATTAAAGAAAAAAGGAGCTTGAAATTCTAATTTAAACTAAGCCACTTATTCTTGGAATTATGAACGTAATCCAAACGTATCTATTACAACATCCAAGGAGAAAAGGGGAAGAGGGGGACTCTATGCTTTTCTTTCTTGTTGAATGTAATGTGTCAAAAACATGGTACGAAACAGAAAATAATTCATTTGCAAAGTTCATTTCTGACTGTAATATAACCAGTTACTTGTCTTGTTTTAAGAGAAGAATAAGCTCATATAAATCCAAAGGACGTACATTTAATAAAAATGTGTTAGTTGGAAAAGGTACTATCAGATTCCTCCTGATTTTTTGCAACCCGTAGACTAACACGACTCTCCTCCTGCAATACTGTTTAGTTAAACATTCCCTGTTTCAGCAAGAATTTTCCAATTCAGCAAGAATATTCCAAATTTAGCTAATGTTTCTGATTCAGGTTATTACACATATGCCAACAGCAGGCCTATCTAGCAAAGATTATGGGAATCACATTCATGGCAACTAAAGACAAAAACCCAGCCAAAGTGGCAGCTGGGATCCCAAGTAGGAGCACTAAAACGACATACGACTAGAGGGCTAATCACATTAAGAAACCAGTATCTTTCCAAAAGGACTGCTTTTCTGGAGTTTGGAGCTCAAAAATAAAAGTGAGAAAAGAATCTATGCACAGCAAACACATCACACCCTCACAGCAGGAAGAACCAGGACCTGGCTGGTTGCCTGAGTGTATGGTACCACACACACACACGTACATACAAGTTTCATTCCAGCAGCCACTGTTTAATACGCTTGGCTCACAAAGAATAGTTTGTTCTGCCTGGAAAAGCACACACAGCTATTTTTAAAATAGTAATAAAAAAGAATACTGCTAAACATGGCTCTATTTCAAAACCACAGGAGGCACTGGAGGGTTTTTCAAATATCTGAGCAGGCTGAAGTTCCCGCTGAAAAATGGGCGGTAAATATATTCATCCAGAAACAAGTTAATATCCTGCTGGCTTTTTTGTGGCAAAAGAGTAGATCTGTTAAGCAGTCCCTGCACAGGGTAGAGGGGCGGGAAGAAGGCTTTGATGTCACTATTAACTGGGAAAAACAAAGTGAGAAACAGAAAAGGGATGGAGATGGGGATTTTAATTGTTTTTATATTTTTTAAAATTTTGATCAATGCCCAGAGTCACTTGGTGAGATGGGCAGCCAATAAAATAAAATAAAATAAAATAAAATAAAATAAAATGTGATGGGGAAATAAAATCTCTGGGGAAGGGGTTTTCTTACATTTCATTGTTTGAATTACTTCTGGCTCAATACATGAGATAGATGGATAGACAGACAGACAAATAGATAATTATTTGCTTTTTTTAATTGTGTAGGCTGCTCTGCATTGTATGCTAAATGGGCAGATAAATAAACTGAATGAATGAATGCAAAAACGAATAACTATCCTTCATGACATGTCTCATTTATCTTCTATCAGGGAAGGGTGTTGGTTTCTGCTTTTCTAGTCCACCAATTTAATCTGGATCCCCATTTTGGGCATTTCATTTTCTAGACCTCTTCTCTTCTTAACCTGAGGTAAAAGGGTCTAAATAGTTCACATGACCTATCTTTCTATGCCTGTCTATGTGATTTCCCCAGCCTTGGAGACAGCTGCCTTGAGCAGCAATGTGTCAATTTTTGGATTAGCATGATGAATGAGCAATGGCTTGTTCAACTCTTTAAAAATCCTGTCTTAATGATGGAACAAAGAAACATTAAATACAACCAGATCATTTCTCTAATCCAGGCATTTTAAGGAAAAATTATAACCTATCAGCTGATTATACATTTTCTTGCAGGTTCTGCCAGCATGATAAGTCCATTTCCACTTCTAGACCCTTATTAATAACTTGCAACTTATAACTTATTAGGAAAATTGAGAGGGAAAAGTGACACATGGAAAGCATTCAAGGGAGGGGGGACACCGTTAAGACAAAAATTCTAGAAATAGCCACTCAAATCTAAGTGATTTCATGTCATCATATCCCTAGGTATCTGAGTAGCTTTCCACGTGTGGAATGCCATCAGCTTACATGAATTACAACGAGGAGCTTTGAGTCTTAATTCAATAGTCAAAACATAAGAAGAAATTCCCAGACAGTGCATCAACACTAAACTCGAAATCATCTGTCTAAAAAGTAAAGGAAGTAGCTCTCTTTTATTACATATTCAAAGGCAAAATTTACAAATGTCAGAACTGTATTTTATCCTTTCAGCTTTTGCCTCAATGGCCATATTCGCACACATTTCCGACAACGGTGAACAACTATTTTTCAGGCTGAGGGCTGCATCTGGGTTTTGACGGACATGCTGTGGGCCACATGCCAAAACTTAGATGAATCCAGGACAAAAAAAGAAATGTAATTTAACTTTAATTAAAAAGCACACAAGTTGCATGAACTTGCAAATGATTTATTCATATTCTGGTTTATTACTTTTAAAGTTTTCTTCCTCACCACAAGGACCAGAACTCCATTGACTTTTCACACCAAATTTAATTTTAACCTGTAAATGGCTTCAAATGTAATTCTCAGAAACTCCTACACTAAAAGAAAAAATAATTATCCACATTAGGGTTTTAGGGAAAGAAGGGTTGCTTGTTTTTAAAAGGAAACTTTGTGGTTCAGTTTCACTCACTGTGTAATCTGCATGTTTTTTCCCATACCATTTCATCCACTTTCTGAATTCTTTGTCCATCGTCTAGAAAGGTGGAAGAAAGGAAAAGAACAAACCAAAAGAAAATCCAGAGGTTAGATTTCTGCAAATAGAAGAAAGTGGTAACTATGGGAGTGTCTAATGAGAGTTTGCACAAGATTTGCACTAATGGATTCAGAACATTTTAGGGTTTGGAAGGCAGCTGAATTTAGTCTTATTTCTACAGAAGCATGGTGAAATTAGCACCAACATATTGAAAAGTTGGGTTTACCACCTGGGAAATTCAACTCTTGCGGTGCTTCTCAAATAGCAGCAGCCTACTTGGCACAGTGAAAGTTACAGATTTAAACCCAGATTCCTCCTTTTGAAGGAATTTCAGAAAAAACATCCCTGTGACAGCTATTGCCAAGGAGCATAGATGGCAGTGAGCTAGAGGAACATGTGTCCTAGTGTCACATGGGAACTAATAAAAATCTATAGAGCACAAGCTTTCAAGAATTTAAAATCCCTGGTACCTGGGGTTAAAAGGAAGAAAAAAGAATATTAGGGAAAAAAGGGCAAATAAAACCATGGATTGATTCCTATGCTGTTCAAAGGCAGCTTCATATATTTGTTGCCCTTCGTGTTATGGAGCCAAATTTGGTAGCTATTACAGCCTTCCCTATAATAGAGGTTATAGCTCAATTGTATATTCTACCCACCCACCTCCTAGGAAATTGTTCTGGGAAGCAATATCCCCTCTTCCAGTCACGATTCTACTGAAGCCCAGCCTGTCAATGCCTTCTGGTGCCCACACACCACCTCCTTTTACTATGTATTGTACCCAAACCACCTATTTAGTATTTGGCTTAGAAAAGAATCCTTTCAAGACAGACCCCTGCAAAGTTAAAGAGTATCAAAAACTACTGGCACAGATCAGTTCAGACCACAAGCACTATGAGAGAAAAATTCAGCCAACAATAAGGTAGATTGGGCAGCTCCTTATTGAGGAGCAAAGTTTCACCTTCTGCAAGTGCAGTCTGAAGTGTTGAATTGTTACTAGCAGGGTACTATAAGATGCAGTTTGGTAACAAATAATAAAGCATTGGGCCTGGAATCAGTACCCGAGCTGCCATTTTGAAGCTGATAAAGCTCCTAGCCCTGACATGCTTGAGAGTGGGCTGCAGTTTCAGAAGCCAGAAAAATTCTGAACAACTTCAGGATCCATATATAGTTTCTTCCCTTTTTCTATTCTTGAGAAAATTATTTAATAACACAGTTACCACAGTTTTAGATGCTAAAACTAAGCATCTAAGCATTGAATGTTGAAGACGGTGTTTTTAAAAATGAATGGTATATGCCACTTTGGCCAGATTTCTTTAAGCCATGCTCAGCTGCTAACCTGTGTCACAATTCTAATCCAAGAAACTATGTTACCTCAGCATATTTGGCCGGAATATCAGCTTTCTCCACACCATAGTGATGCTTGCAATTTGTTGCTGCAGCCACCTGGAGCACAACTTGACCCACACCTAAGACAAGACAACAGAGAACTACAGTTAATAGGACTGCCCGAATGTCACATAAGAAGCTAAACTTGGAGTAAGAAGTTTACCTAAGAATTGCAAGTATATTACTGAACCTCTAAACGTGTTATTTTGTAGATCGGAATGTATGTCAGAAAATAGATTGCCCTGCACAACCAATATTTGGCTCACAAAGTCCAAGGTTTTTCTTAAAGCTACACTCTGGAAATGTAGATTAATATATAGGAACTAGTTTTCAATGCCAAAACCAACACTCTGCTCTGAGCTTGAAGCAAAAAGGTAACCAATGTAGCTGACATAAGGCCAGTGTGAAACATTTCAGGCTCCATGTGTCAGACAGAAGTCTGGCTGCCAGATTCTGAATCCACTGCAGTTTCCAGACTTGTTTTCAATTGTCCAGATAACTAAAGCCAGGTCTGTTTTCAGAAAGACATGGCTAGATTTGCAAGCACTTAATACCATGGGCATTTTAGAACTAGAGTTCCACAGGTAAGAACAGCATTGCCCTCTTCCCCAAGTCACTGTTTTATCTAGCCAATCCCATGCTATTCAGCTCATGATAATGTTCCAAATACAAATTTGCATTCCTTTTTAAAAAAACAAAAAACAATCATCAACAGAGAGAGAGAGGAGAAAGCACTCATGGCTCTTTCTTTTTTCATTTGTAAGACTGTAGGAAACTATGCCAGCAAGGCATGAAATCATTGCTATTTCTATTGCCTATCAAGAAGTAATGGGGAAACACAATAGCTAAAAATATATTAAGATTTCACGTATCATGGTGGAGTGTATAGCTGGGAAAATAAGAATTAGCACAGCAAATTATCAGGGAGCCCAATGGCTAAAGAGAGAATCCAGAAACTTTAACTTCCCACTGTCTCTTAAATTACTTAGCTGCAAGAGAAGGAATCATTCAGCCAAAAAACTATTCTAGATGTACCCAACAACTTGAGATTGTATAATAGTTTTTTTTTTCATGTTGGTTGCAAAATTCCCCAGGCTTATGGTCTTGTGGGACTTTAATCTGCCTTCCCTGGGCGCAGGGTTGGAGATGGCTCGACACATAACAGTGGTAATACACCTGACCTGGTTTTTCTGTCAGAGGAATGACATGGTGCTCTGAAATTGGGGGAGATATTAGTTTCTCCTCTGCCATAGTCAGATCACTCCCTGGTGAGCCTCCAATACTCTGGTATCACCCCTCTCGGCAGGGAGGCTGGGTCTATTCGAATGGCCCACCCCAGGTGACTAATGGACCAGTTGGGTTCCAGAGGGAGCGTGGGGTTGTTCTGGAAATCTACTGCTCTATTCGACTGAAGTGTTGGTGGCTGTTTGGAATGATAGAGCAGCTGCAGCTTTGGATTGGATCATGCCTGAGCAGCCTCTCCACGCCCATGGCTCTTGCAGTTCTCCACGCTATAAGGAAGAATTGAGGGAGCTAAAAAGGGCTAACAGACAACTAGAGCACTGCTGGCAGTAGACAAGGAGCGAAGACGACTGAACACAATGGGGCCTTAAGGGGCCTTTGCTCAACCCAACTAATCCAGACAACTTTTGTCCAGTTTCCAACTTCCCTTTTTAGGGAAGGTGGTGGAGAGAGTGATAGAGTGGCAGCTGCAGAGGACTGCGGATGAAGCACATTATCTGGACCCCTTTCAGTCAGGGTTCAGGGTGGGGTTTGGAACTGAAACAGCATTGATCATGCTCCTGGATGGCGGGAGCAGGATGGGGGTAGTGCATCCATCCTTGCTCTTCTTGATGTCTCAGCAGCATTTCGTACCATCAATCATGGTATCCTTCGGGAATCGGCTTTGGGAGTTGGGGGTAGGCGGCACTGTGCTGTTCTGGTTTTCCTCTTTCCTCCAGGGTCGATTTCAGTCCGAGCTGATGGGGGGCAGAGATCCAGCCCATGGCTCCTATTGTGTGCAGTGCCTCAGGGCTCGGTCCTGTCTCCTCTCCTATTTAACATCTACATGAAGCCACTGGATGAGGTGATCTGATGGGTTGGGGTGAGGTACCATCAATATGCAGATGATACCCAGTTATATATCTCCAGCCCAGGCCCATTGAGTGATGCTGTGGATGTCCTATTCCAGTGTCTGGAGACTGTAGGGGCCTGGATGGGGTGCAATGGGCTCCGACTCAATCCAAGCAAGGCAGAGTGGCTTTGGGTATTTGGTCCTCCTGGGGACAAGGTTTTTCCATCTTTGGTATTGGATGGGGTAGCATTGCCCCAGACAGACCTGGTGCACAATCCGGGGATCCTCTTGGACTTGCAGGTCCTGCTCAAAGAGCAGGTGGCAGCCACGACCAAAAGGGCCTTTGCACACCTTTGGGTTATGTACCAGTTATACCCATTCCTGGACCGGGAGGCTCTCCTCATAGTCACTCACGCCCTTGTTACCTCCTGTTTGGATTACTGCAACGCACTCTACATGGGGCTGCTCTTGAAGACCATTCAGAAGCTTCAATTGGTGCAAAATGCAGCTGCACGGGTAGTAAATGGTTCTGGATATACAGCATATGTAACACCAGTACTATGGGAGCTGCATTGGTTGCCAGTGTGTTTCCAGGTGCAATTCAAGGTGCTGGTTGTCACCTTTAAAGCCCTGCATGGCTTAAGACTGGGTTACTGAAGGGACCGTCTTCTCCCAATAGTTTCTATCCATCCAATTCGGAGTAGTAGGTTGGGGATGCTGCGGATCCCGTCAGCCAAGGAATGTTGGCTGGCAGGGACCAGAAGGTGTGCCTTCTCAGCCGTAGCCCCTGCCCTTTGGAACATTCCTCCTCTGGAGCTCTGGAGGGCCCCAACCCTGCTAGCCTTTTGTAAGGCTTTAAAAACCTGGCTATGTGCCAGAGCCTGGAGTCCCGAAAGTGTTAGGGAGCCGTTACCTTGTTGCACTGTTAATTTTAATATAATTATTATAATTCTCGGCTGCCTATATGTATAATTTGTAATGGTTTTAATGATTGAAATTGTTCACTGCTCAGAGTCACTTGGATTGAGATGGGCGGCTATAGAAATTGCATAAATAAATAAATAAACAAATAAACATTCCTCTCACTTTCACAGTGGGTTTGCCATGTGTTACAGGGAACTGCTCTATAACAAGGAGAAGGTCAGCCTCCCTAGGTACCCACAACAGCCATCCACTGTTTTTCCTGGGCTAGGTAAAAGCTAACCAGAGAGGGGGTGGGCGAATCCACCATGACAGGGTCATAGAAATGCTACCTTATTAGCTGCATTAACTAAAGTTCCCACTTCTCCAACTGCTAGGTTCCATTTAGGCTTATTTATGCTCTGCTTTTAGTCAAAACTGGCAACACTTCTTTTAAAATTTGCAATTACAGGAGATATTAAACTTGGATCTTTCTTAAATTAAAAAATGAACCTGAGGACTTCTCAGAAGGCTACATGAGCTCACAAGAGGAATATAGTCCTGAAGCCACCTAGAGATTCTAAATAGAAGTACTAGATGTAAAGTCAAAAATGAATGCACCTGGCTAAAACTACAGATTCTGGAGACATAATATCACAACCATTGGCTGGCCAAAGCTTGATGTCACATGCTATTATTTTTCTTTCCACCTCCACTCCCACACTCTCCCTCATTTTGTGGTTCTCAGGAACTTAGTTGAACACTGATGATGTCAATTACCACAATTATGATATTGTGAATCATAACCTGCTTTCATCAAGTCAAAATTGGAAAACTGGTATAGTTTGCAATTCCAGTCTGAAGGCAAAACTTTGCATTACAATAAATTATATTTCCAATTCAGTACTGTCTATTAGAAACCAACACTGCAGCTCACCAAGACATTAAAAAAGTAAATGCCAATGAACATCTCCAGTGAGAAAACATGAATTTCAAATTATGGACTGGTTATTCACAAAACACAACAATTCTGCTTGAACTATTTTAAGCAGAGCCAGAAAAGGGAACTGTACAGTGAACACTCACCACTGCCTAAGTCTACAAAGAGGTCATCTTCAGTCATTTTTATTTCATCTATCATCTGGGCCACCAAGTCAAAAGAAGTCTCTCCATACACCTCTGGGGAAAAGGGTTCATAGTTGTTGAGTTTTTCTGGATCCGTCACTGAGTGGTTATACACTTGCTGTAGGATATGGCGCAGAAGCCCATTGGAAGGGCGGGTATTCAGTTTCATGGGCTGGGTGGTTCCTTTCCACTAAAGAAAGAAACAAGAAACCCATTTATCTCAATCACAGTTTTTTATAGCAAAAACACCTTTTAAAGCACAAAACTCCCCTCAACCCATGTTCATAACATCAACAGCACCACAAACATTATTTGAGTAGGAAAATGTAGGCTGGCAGAGTTAAAGTAACTGAGTGAATTATTCACTGTGCAACCTATGTTGCCCTGACTTCTCAATATACAGGCAGCCTATCTGCCATGTTATCAGACTTCCCATAAAATCATTAACCATAAGCATGGTCAACTTACATCTAACCCACTTTAGTTAAGTAAAAAGCATGTGTGCTACCAAAATTCTAACAAAGTGTATTGTTGGAAGTAATCGACATCATACACATCATGGTCTGTGCTTTCTAAACAGCAGGCAAACTATGGTTTGAAGCTATTTCTTTCCTTTGCTCAGCATTCCTGCTGCTAGTGGTGAAGATAAAAGTAACCCAACTAGACCACAGAGCCATCCAATCCAGAAATGTGTTTCTATGTTGGCCAACAAGCTACTTCTGAAAAGCATATAAGGAAAGTATGAAAGTAACAGTCCTTCTTTGTCATGCATGCCCCTAGGTACTGATATTCAAAGGCAGGGTAAGTCAGTAAAGTGAGCTGAACTGCCTGCTGACCTTGAAATCAGTTGCCCAAACAGATGGCAAAAATGGCAACAGAATGGCAAGGAACACATACCAATTGGTGAATGCTGTCAATAGCTCGGTTGTATTTGTCACAAAGTCTTTGCATACTTTCAAAGCTAAAAATGAGACAGAAAAACAAGAGTAATCAGCTAGCAAATACATATTCTCTCAATATTCTTACAATAGTCTGCCCAGCCACAAACATCCTACAGAAGCTATATTAAACTTTCTGGGGAGTTGCTTCAGGCAACTCCCCAGAAAGCTTTGCTAAAATATCTTCTAATTCCTTAAATGATATAGAATCAACATGTTGGATACATATTTAAATATAATTTGTCAGTGAATACATCTAAACAATCCCCAGCGGTCACAAGTAAATCAACTGAAATATTTGTCTAGGAATACTTATACTTTCAATAAAATACTCTTGTGGCATAGTCCCATACATTCAGAAATTAGTTCTATTGAGTTCATTGGGGCTCACTCATACATAAGAGGATATAACTGATCGCATTAAGGCTGCAAATAAAATTAAATTTTCATTTGAAAGTTACGTTTATTGAAATGTTTAAAACAATTAAGATAGCACAATTCATTAACTTGTACATTGCTTAACATGTCAGAATTAAAATGCATGGATACAGGTGCACCTTTATTCATACTAATAATTCTGATTTTCAGAAGCAGCATTTCAAAATACTTTAATGTCTAAGTTCTCCTAGGGGATATTTGATTGTCCAAGTAAATGATGCTTGTTTTCCAACTTGGTGCCCTCTGATGCCCATACCATCTGGATATTCTGGAAATTGTAATCCCAGTAACACCTGGAGGGCACCAGATTAAGGAATGCTGCTCTAGGTCCATCATGTGAGCTGGTTGGACTAATGGTCCTTTTCTAAACCAGGCAACTTAACCGAGGATGAAAGAATTAAAGAATCATTTCAGGACATGAGGGTAAAGGGGGAGGAAAGAAGGGAGGGACATGGCAGTCACATGCCCACTGCATAATCAGATTTCAAGCTTCAGTGCAAAGAGCTGTTTTGTGTGCAGCTATACCAAAGCAACAGGGGAGGATACTGGAGCATGTCAGCAATTCTATCCTCAATAAAACTGTCTTTGTAACTGAACAGCCAACAATATTGTTGCCTAATCCCAAGGGTGTGTGGTCAATACTAATTTATCTCTTGTTGTGTTTATTTTTTCAAAAGGTATCCCAGGATACCTCAGTGGGATACACAGTAGCACACTCCTCTATCTGGAAAGAGCCCAATGGCTTATCTAACTTTTGCAATGAGAATACAGAAGTACCTTTCTTTCCCTACAGAAATATGCGTACCAAGTGTTGCCAGTTTCCATATGGAAACCTACCAAGTGTTGCCAGTTTCCATAAACATTAGAATCCATATGTTCAGAACAGGCACATCAGTAGATGGAAAACCTCTTTGCATCTGAAGCTGCTAACCAACTCTGTAGTTGCTACTTGCGGTTACTTGAGCAAATCTGTCCTCCAGTGTGATGTGTTGTTAAACATCAGGGGCCAGGAAAGACAGGCTCAAATGCAAAAGAGTGGCCATGTTCTAACTGAAGCACTATCAGGGAAGATCACAGAATTCTAATAAAAGAACAAGTATAACTAGTAAGTGTGCCTACCCACACATTCATTAATAGCAGTCCCTTTCAAAGAGTAAGGTACAGAGGAAAAACACAAGAGAAAATATCAGAATGAAATGTTTGCCAGATTAACTGATTCATCATATTCACAAACAGTTAAACTGATAATGAACAGCAACCTCGTTTGCCAAGAATATCCATTATGTTGTGCAATTATTGACAAACGGGATAGTATTAACAAATGCCCTAAAGGCATAATAACAGCCTCCATGTATTGTATTGAAGCATTCAGTACTGGAGGATTAATGCATGAAGACTTTGTCAAAGTTAAAATGTTTTGCTTCTCTTGTAAAAGAAGGCTCATGAATTAAAATTAAATTAAATTAAATTAAAATGGAGTAAAATAGATTGTACTATGAAAATATACTCCCATGTATGCTGCAAAGGATACAAAGTCCTGCCATTTAATATTTAATATAGGTCCTTGATTAGGCTGAAGATGGCATGCAGGATTTAGTACTCATTTTGTCATTTCAGGAGGAAAAGATAGCATGCAAAGTAACTCAATCGGTTTATCCACAAAAAATGCAAATAAACAACCTCCACCCCATTCCAGAATTTACTATTAAGGTCAATGCTTAAGCTCTAAACCTCTCCACTTCTTGCTAAAATATGTGAAGTTCAAATAATCAACAATCACCATATGTGCAGAAAGGGTTAGTTAAAAAAAAAGAAAGAATATTTATTGACATGTGACTACTTTACTATTTCATCTGTGCTGACTGCAAATTTATTTCTAGGCTCTCCTTAATTAAATCCTAAAGCTGCAGGATCCTGCCTTGCCACTGAAATCAGGTTAAACGACTCCTTTGTATATTCCATTTTATCTATCCCTCTTTTAATCAGAATATGAGACAGAACTCTTCTGTTCGCTGAAATCTGTTTAACAGTCTCCTTAAATATATACTGTACTGTTGTTTCTTTGAAAGCTATTTGTTTCACAGCAGTTTAAACTTTAACTTGGTTGATCAGATTAATAATTGTATCTGTTATTTCGTTTGCTTTTCTCTTGTGGTAATTACACGTATCACAGCCCTCAGTACTGTTAGCCACTCGGGCTTTCTAGGAGTTAAAGGCAAGGTATTCATCCAAAAAAATTACACAAAGAAAGCTTAAATTAAACTTAAATTAAAGGTTTAACAGAATTAAGCCCAAGGGGCTGTTTAGCCATTAAAAAAACAAAGAAAAGGAATTAGAGCAGCTTTCCCGAACCTGGTGCCTTCCAGATGTTAGGCCACAATTTTCATTTTCCACAGCCATCATGATCAATATGAAAGACACCAGGTTAAGGAAGTTACTATGAACAATCACAGCCAATTATAACTTTTTTTCACTGCAAGTTCAGCTAACACTCAGGATGGCAAAATGAGATTGCAATTAATCTGGACAGAGAAGAACAAGATGTCATTCAACTGGGAGAAATGTAATTACATTTAGGGGAAAAAAAACATAGGACACATATAAGATGGGAGGTTCATGACTTGGAAACACTACATCTGAGGAGTATGTATGGTATGGTCATTGTCAATGAACATGAGTCAGCAGTGTGTGAGACAGCTGCTAGAAGGGCAGTGTAGCATTAGAAGAAGCATTGTATCAAAGACACATGAAGTTGTTATTCCTCTCTATACAGCACTGGTGAAACCACACCTGGAATACTGTACAATTAAGGGCACCATATTTCCAAAAGGATTTTGATGGGTTAGAGAGTTCAAAGAATGGCAACAAAGATGATACAGGGACTTGAGGGCATGCCCTGTGAGAACAGGCTGGGATGATTAGTGTGAGGAAAAGAAGACTTTGGGGACACATGATAGCAAAATTCAGGTACAGAAAGAGAAGCTACAAGAAAGATGGTCAAGAACTATTTTCCATGGCCACAGAAACCATGTCCAGAAGAAATGAATATATAAGTTGCAGCTATCTAGATTTCATAAATACAAGAAAAAAACTTCTTAGAGGTACAACACCAATTATAGACTTTAAAAAAGAGGCCTGCACACTACAGAGGGGTGGACTAAACGATCATTGGTCCCTTCCAGCTCTACAATTCTATGGTTTTATTATTCTAAATATAGGATATCTAAAGTTTATTAACTGCAGCCTTGCCTAAAAGATGCAGTTTGGATTGTGTTGACTGGAATTGCAGAGTAATTGATAATCCAAAGCTCCCTAAGGCTATTTTGGCAGTACAGCAAAGAAATCTTTCAGGCTACTGCTCCAGATTAACTCACAACAGAACAACACTTAAGGGTCCAAAGTCATTTTTAAGATGCATCGTATCTCCTAACAGAGATATAAATAAAAAGGCTGCTGTGGTTTATTTTGGTAACATCTGCTTCCAATTCACTTTGAAGTGGAAAAGGAACAACCCCTAACAATGAAACCAGGATTCCCTCAAAGGCCTTCATTAATGCCAATTTTGGTTACTAAAAATGCCTTAGGAGAGAAAACAGAAAGTAGCAATGCTTAGGCTACTCATTTACTGCTTGATATTTTGCAGCAAATCACTGAAGGAAAAGAAAGGGGAGGGGGGAGGTTTCATGCAGTGGCTACTATTTATTAAAGTAATTTTTCTACCTGCCTTTCAGCAAATATGCTCAAAAATGCTGACAAAATAAACAAAAATAAAAAAGCCAATAAAACACATATGCAAAACAAATTATATTTTTGGATTCAGGTAAAATGTCAAATCTGCAACTCAGCAAATAAAACATCTTGCCAAATGGAAGACAACGAGGGATAGAACAAGCCTTGTTATGCAGGGAGTTGCAAAGCACAACTGCAACCAAAGAAGACCCTCTCCTGCATCCAAACTATCATTCAGATTTGGTGGGATGTGATAAAGATGAAGATCTTTGCCAACAATTGAGGTTCATTTCTTCTCAAGGACTTTTTAAGCCCCTTGCTGCTTCTTCCACATGCAGTTAGTAGCCCCAGTTATAGTGCCTACGACCTTGTGCTACCACTTCTGTACTGTTGCCAACAAAACTGCATGGATGTGTCCATACAGTTACCAGAAGTTGAATTCAACATGAGGACATCTTTACTTTTCTAATGGGATATATTACTATAGCATTATCATATACTTTGGACTAAGATAGGTAATCTGATGTTTTCCTGATGGGAGGAAGCTTGCCCATTCAGACAACGGCTATCAGAATGTTCTCTGTCCCTTCCTCTTGATACTCTCCCACCTTGTTGCAGCTACTCATGTTGAGGTTCTAAGAAACTGTATGGGGCCCATCTGGGTCATTGGGGCATCACTGAAAATAAAGACATTCTGGAAAATAAAGATATTCAGGAGGTGCTTTGCTTTCTAGCATACTGACTTCCATTTTTAATTAAAATATATAGTTTTTAAATGTAAAGAATCAGGTGGGGCATGGATCCTATCAGCACTCAAAATTGTGTCTATGGGGATACTAGTGCCAATGAAACCATATTGGAGCCCAAGGCTCATCATTACATCTAAAAATTTTACTCTTTCATACCCTGCACAATTATGATAAGCTAAATAAACTTCCTAATTTCAGGTGGTCCTCGTTTAACGACCACTCATTCAGCGACTGTTCAAACTTGCAACTGTGCTGAACAAGTGGTAAGTACAACCAATCTTCAGAGTTCTGGCCGTTGCAGCATCTCTGTGGTCACATGATCATGATTTCTGACATTCCCTGCCAGCTTCCCACAAGCAAAGTCACTGGTGAAGCCTGCAGGAAGTCGAAAGTTGTGGTCATGTGAGGTCCTTCCTTACCAGAATTGCTGTTGCTAAGTGGCATGGTCACATGATGTCGCACTTTATGACCACATTGCTTAGCAATGGCAATTCCAGTCCCAATTGCCATTGTTAACCAAGGATTACTTGTATTATGTAAACAGCTGCTATATTCATAATAAATATAACAGAAATATCCAAAAAGCAGTATTTATATTCTTTAATTATTTTTTCAGCATCTGAGGTTAATTCTATGCCAGGTACCAATTACCCAAATGTCTTTTGTAACTGCAGCGGCAATTCACAAGCCTACTTTAATTGCTGCATTTAGCCCTGCTATAATAGGTTATCCCTATTGAAGAATTAAACAGATTCTCACTGTCTCACCTTTTAGTATCATAGTCAATTAAAACATAGTTTTCCATAGCAAGCTTGAGGTCTGGAATTTCTTCACAGACCCACCTGAAAAACAAAAACAAAGAAGATCAATTAGCCTTACAAACAACTCTCCAAAGTTCCTATATTACTTTCTGTTTTTTTAAAAAAATCCCTGCCAGTCCAGATACATTTACTATTAATCATCTGCAGCTCACTGGCAGTCTAAGAAGAAAGAACTTACTTTGATTTACTCAACTAATACTGAGAAGCATTCTTACTAGTCAAGTATTCAGCCTAATAGTTATTTTCAAGTCTCCAAGAAATAAATGTTAAGTGGTTAAACTTTATGCATATTATTTCAGGAACACTCCTTAACAACAGCCATGTAGAACAATATAATTAGCCTGCAATATTAAGTGCTCAGTTACTCTCACATCTTTGAAATAAGAACGTGCAATACAAGTCCACTGAGACCAATATGGTATAATCTGACAGTACTAAATGGCATTTCCACCACTGCCACCTGCCCACTACCACAAATCCTTGGAACTGGAGATGCCAGGGATTGCCATCTTGGACTTCATCATGCACAGCAGATGTTCAACTACTGATGTATGAATCCTTCCTTCTGATGTTTACAATGCTTTATGTTTTTTGCAATGCTGCAATCCAGCAGCAGTACTGAATGCTGTAAAGGCTGAAGGTTTGGGGTAATGGAAATTCTAAAATGATAGTTATTCACTGGGAGAGGTCTAAATTAAAGGATAGAAAATGTTCGTTTATCACCATCAGCAAGGATAGATGTTTGTGGTGGCAAGCAATAACTTATTGCAGAAAAAACTGCAGCACGATATAAGCACTTTATCCTTGCTCCCCAACAGCCAGCCCTTAAAAAACCAATACAAGCAGCTCATGTAGGCACATCCTGTAACAACAAAGCTTTGAAGAGCAGTAGAAGTTGTTTTCTACTGATGCAGACCCTGGAAAGTGGGTTTTTTTTTTCCAGCCTAGAGATACCAGGCTAACACAGTGGGGAGAAGTGATGCCAAAAGAAGATACTGTGAGGTAAGAGGCAACCATACAAATTACTTTACCTCTTCTGTGGAGGCAACGGTCATTAGCTTTGAGTACAGTAAGTTGCCAATTCTGGCTTGACTTATTAGTCAGACCATGATTTGTGATAGGTCTTGAGGCACACAGAGAATCCTCATAAAGGGAAAGCACTATTTCTATTATATCTCCCTTGACCCAAATTACACCCAGTTCATGGAAGACATAGGAAAGGAACTCTTAGGTATACTTATGTTTTTGCTTTCTTCTCAATAAACTGTCTTGATAAGGCTTGGCCTCAAAAACTGATATACAGCACAAATATTTTAAATAGCTGGGTTGTGTCAGACAGAGGGGCCCATTACTGGACAAGGCAACTTGTAGCTTATCCTTCACTTCAGGGTTCCATAAAAGGCTGCTATCTTCTGAAATGCATCAACAATGCTAGAAGGCAATAGCAATAGGAATGAGGCAATGCTGCTTGCCCAAGAAACTTAAAACCAGATCCCGTTGGGGCAAAGAAGGGAGCTCTCTAAAGGCTTTGATTTCGTGGTTTTCTACAAGATAGCCATTTCTGACTCATAACAGGGTCACTGAGATCTTTGACAGAAAGCTGTTTAATGCAGTCAGATAAAGCTACAACAACAGGCATAGCTAGAAGGGAGTTTCTGGTAGAATCCAGCTGAGATTAACTGAGCAGCTATTTAGGATACATGGCTGCACTACTAAAATCAAGCTATTGGTCCATAGGTGATTCCACACATGAAGGACTGAATCTTTTCTGGCCCAATTAATATTCAAAGCAACATACTGCACTCCTTTCTCTCAAGGCTTCCTCTTCTTGAGGCAAAATCTCAGTCTTGCTTTCACTGGCTAACAGAGAAAGTCCTCCTATCAATAATAATGTTCCCAACTGCTTGCCAAAGGAGCATGTATGAATATGCACCTACACATGTACAGGCGCACATGGACATTAATGCTGAGGAGGATATGTCTGGCCCAAAGGCTCAGGGAAAACAGCAAAATAATTCAGAGAGACTACATGGCCCCTTCTGCTTCAGTAGAAATAATGAATAAAGAAAAACATTCCCAATAAATATTTTGTTTTGAAATGAGAAAATGTTAATATTTACTCAAAATGTCTAGCATACAGATATCCATATAAATAAACATCAGAAATCATTCTTGTGTATATAGAAATACATCAAAATATCTTCAAATATGCTCATAGCCCTTTATACTGTACCTTTATGTTTATTCAAATGTATTATTTAATACTAAATAATAACTTATTTTCAACTTTTATTTATCCCTATTTCTCAAAGGGCAAAAATTATGATCTTTACATATGATGCAAGCAGTTTGTAGCACACCCTTTCTCTCTCCTGAACAAAAATAGGGTGTTCATAGTTTTAAGGTTGCTGTTATGTATATCTCAAATTATAAGCACCATTAATTAAACAGAGTAAATGTACAGACTGTAGCTTATCCTGTAAATTTCATAAATATGTCAATGATACATTCATTTTAAGTTAAACTTATAAAATATGTTCACATCTGTTAAGTTCATATCTAATATATTTCAATGTGACCTCAAAAAACTGCTTTTTCCTCTAGTTTCAGAATGTCTGCAAATTTTACTTTTCTAAGCCTAGTCCTGAGAAACTGACCAGCTGTTTGCAAAAGTTACAAAGGGACCTGCTCTGATTTCCAGGTTGTGAAAATCTTTATAGTGAATGCATTTCAAGCTTTTTAGGCCTCACACGGAACAGTAACAGGTCTGTTGTTCAGAGGACAGCATAGACTTGCACATTTTCAGTCAGTCTATAGTACAGTTGAGCAACCTGCAGGTTAGTCAGAAATACTGCCAGCATCCAGGCCTACACAACCAGGAACAATGAACAGACAAGAATCCCATGCCTCCCTATGTCCTAGAACAGAAGGGTAAACTGCAAGCGATGTATTCTAAGCTGGGATACAGAGAGTCAAGTCCAGTATATTGCCTACTATCAAATTCCCAAAGTAGATGCACAGCTATAATTACTGAGGGAAACACCAAGGTGACACATTGCATCACCTGCCTCACTACCAGCTGAAGTGACTGAAGTACATGATCGCCCTTGGACCTATGCACTGATATGCGGTTATTCTTGGCACTGGGAAACACTGAACAGTGTCCTCAACTGGAAAAGAGTATAGCTCAAATGCAGAGCATAGAATTTATATGTGAATAGTCCCTGGTCCAATCCTGAAATATCCAGTTATAGGAATCAGACTGCAGGTAATATGACAGACTTTTGCTGGAAACTCTACAGCTGCAGTTAGAGTAGGCAACACTAGACCAGGAGAAGACACAGGCTGCCTTATGCTAAGTCAGGCTGTGACTAGATGCATACAGCATAACTATATCATAATGGGATTTGTTTTTGGATTAAGATGTTGTGTAACCTTGGCCAAATAGTTTGTTCACCATAATTTCTGGTTTGGTACCATCATCCAGCCCACCAAACTAGGATATCAAAATCATGGTTTACTGCAATATATGAACCAGTCCTATATTCCTACATTCCATTATTTTTTAATGGAACCCAGAAATGGTATTTTAAGTCTATACAGAAAAGCATACCATATCATAAGAATTTGAGATTACACACCAAGTATAGAATCCTAACAAGAACCAAGTTTCCATTCTTCATCTCTTCCCTATCAGAAGACTCACTTGCTGCTTTGAGATGCAGCCCTGGGAGGGTCAGGGGGAGAAAAAAGCAGAGAGAGTGCTTTGCAATGCATATTTGCCTTAACACCTACCGAATTGTCTCAATGATTTCGTGAGCAGCATCATGGTGTTTGTCCTGAAACAACAAAAAAACAGAAAGAGGTGGCTTCAGGACATCTAGGAAGTGATACCATCTATGTTGGCTGTCAGTACAAGAGTCATTTGCTTTAACAAACATCTCATCACTTGCAAATCCAGAGAAAGGAAACTTAACCTGTTTTATTAAAACATTTTGTTAAAAATAACACAACACAAATTCTATGCTTCCTATTTTTCCCCAACTAATAACACATTTGTGTGAAAACTATTCATTTTGCAGCTTCTATGCAATACTAGATCAGCCTACTGCAATTCTATTCCAGGGCACCATTGGATGATAATAGGAGTTATAATCCAACACGTCTAGAGGAACAGTTTTAGGAAAGCTATGCTAAATACTACCAGTTGCATTCTGTATCAGTGGAACAGAGAAGCCAGCTCCACTCCCAAGGCCAATTTTATCTCATCCTGACAGCAAGCTAAATAAAAGTGTATGATAAGTTTAACTTCAAATTTTGTATGCAGCATGTCAAAAAATATGTACTTTTTATATGGTAACATAGAAGAGTAGAAACCAATGCTTGTCATGATGTCTATATAGAACTTTCATATTTCGAAGAAGCCAACCTCTGATTTCCAGATGCTAGAGAAAGACAGTAAGGGTGAGCTGTAACATTTGTATCATCTGTGGGGCTGTTGCGGGGAACTGCTTGATTGTTGTGGAAAGCAGAAAGATGGATTAGTTGGATCCTTAGTCAAAACCAACAAGATTCTTGATGACTTCCAGGGGAGGTATGGCGAACTGAAGACAGCTCAGCGAAAGTGGAGCTGATGACTGGCGAGGCCAAGGAACTGGTGAGTAGACTGGTTCCTTGGAACCTCTCGGGCTAATGAGAGGACTGCAAATCACCTGCATACACTCCAGATGGCTCCTCCACGTGAGGAGACTGCAGGACAGCAGTTTTCCACAGGTTGAGCACCAGGAGACGATGGGATTAGCCATCTTGCTTGCAACCACAGCGGAAACTTTTAAAGGACACTAAGTTCACAAACCTCACTTTCTAATCACTTTCGGAAATTGCTCATTAACTACTTCTAAACTATTAGAGACCTTCCAAATAACAAGTTTGAGGGTAAGTCTGCCTTCAATTCTGAATGAAAGAAAAATTTAATCATAAGCTTCAGAATTTAAAGAATCTGAAATATACAGCAAAAAGGT